GGCCCAGCGCGCCCGGCCCTCCCCAGCGGCGTCCCTCCGCCCTTCGCGGAGAACCACCCGCGTCCTTATTCTTACCAAATTAACAACTTTTCCGCGGTCAGATCTATGCAAATAAATCAGTTACGGGATGGGTGGCCGCTTACGTGATGAACGCATCTTTATTACACACACACACAAAAAAAAAAGAGGAGTAATTGACAGCGACAACAGGGCGCCCGCGTCCGCGCGCGCACCAGCCCGGTGGGCTCTCACACCGCGTTCGACGCAGGACTAGCGGAACACGGCATCACGGCGATAACTGACGTCATAGGTATAAAAGCGAGCGACCGGCGTCTTCCGCGTTACTAACACTAGGTGGCACATCTACTTTTTTAAGACTAACGCTTTCTGGTTTATAAAGTTTACCTCGGTCAACCGACCAAATTTCCGGCGCAGAGTCTTCACCCATACAGGCTTCCGAGAACGTTTCTATTTTGGACCAGTTGTGGTCTTTTTTGGTTGTAAGATCTATCAAGAAACTTCTCCAGTGAGCATTCCGGTCATGAATCTAGAAAAAAAAAAAGGGGAAAACAATTACATCTGAAGTTTTTTTTCTAACACCAACTTTAATAGCTGAAGATTTAACCCAGTGCAAAACCAAATAGTACACGGGTTAACTCTCAAATGCAAAAGCTGAACTCTGAAATGCAAGAACAAGTCTGTTTTGCCAACTCTGCACTGATTTTCTCGCTCCGCTGTCAGGGAACACTTCCAAAAGAAGCTAGAGTTTTAACACACAGGCAAACATTAACTCAAAAACTTGTAATTGGAAAAAACCCTTATGTTCTGTCTTAGCAGCCACTTCAAGGACTTGAAGGTCTCGGAAAACAGCTAAGCTCAGCAATCCATTTTTCAGCATATCACAATGCTGGAAGCACGTAAAATCACACTCATGTGCAACATGAAGGCATTATAAACCATCATGTTATGGCCTCTCTGTAAGAGGCTTAAAAGACTGCAGAGACTGTGGTCATATAAAATGTGGTACCGTTCCTTTTTTCAGAAAAGGATTCAATCAGTAATAACCCTTTTAAATAACCAGTCCTTCCTCATATATTTTTATAAGATTAGATTTTCCTTTTGCAGACAACAGGAGTACTTGGGAGGTGACCAGTTGGACAGCCAGTAGTGGGAGCTGCTGTGCTGCTGGAGGAAAATTCGGCGCACTTCAGAAATACATATTTTAAAAGCTGTGTATACATGGTAGATCAATCCCCCAACCCTAATATTCATCACCAACATGAACCCTCATTAAGGCAAGAAACTTCTCTCAGTAGTTAAAAATCACCACTGTAGTCTGCCTGCCACAAAGACACCCGAGGGGCAGCATACCGACACATGTCTGCGCAAGGTGGACATGTCCGTGAAGGTTCTCTCGCAAGCTCTGCACTTGTACGGCTTTTCCCCGGTGTGAATGCGCTGGTGGCGCCGGAGAGCGCCCTGTTGGGTGAACGTTTTCCCACACTGCTCACAGAAATACGGACGGGTCTCTGAAACAAACGCACCAGGAAGCAGACTTAGAAGGCAGGTTCAATTGGCCTTAATTTCAGCAGACAAAAAGCATAAAGAATTTTAAAAGATCAATATTGATAAAGTGATGTACGTAGAAGACATGTGCTTGAAGCCCCGGTTTTTAACGTTATGTGGTAAATGTTTCTTGGCTGCAAAGGAAAGCCCGAGAACAGCTCTTTGATCTTGCAAGGGGAATTAACAGCAACTACAGCCGCTCTCTGCTCCGACATCCTTCAGCACCACAAAACAGGCCTCAGTCTTGTGGACAAGCAACATCCGACATGATACAAGACAGTATTGTGCCCTGTTTAGCAAGCCAGAATCAGTATGAGCCCTGCTACTCCTCATCACCTAATTCAAGGAGCTTATAAAAGCGGTTCTGTAATAAAATGTCACCATCCAAGCTGGAAAGTACTTCAGATTCAAGCTTCCAGTGCTGTTTATTTTCCCAGCTCTGATAAGTTTGTTTCGTTACCTGCATGGACGTTACTGTGCTGGGCTAGCGAGGCTCTCAGTCCAAACGTCTTCCCACAAACCTCACATTTGTAGGGTTTAGCACCCATGTGGCATCGTTTATGGCATTTTAAATATTCGTTGGTGGCAAAATGCTTTCCACACACATCACATTTAAAAAGGCGCTCTCCTGAGTAAAGAGAAAAAGACACAGAATCACAGAATGGTTTAGGTTGGAAGGGACCTTGAAGATTATCGAGTTCCAACCCCCCTGCCGTAGGCAGGGACACCTCCCACTAGACCAGGTTGCCCAAGGCCACATCCAGCCTGGCCTTGAACACCTCCAGGGATGGGGCCTCAACAACCTCTCTGGGCAACCTGTTCCAGTGCCTTACCACCTTCACAGTAAAGAATTTCTTCCTAATGTTTAACTTAAACCTACCCTCTTCCAGTTTGAAGCCATTCCCCCTCGTCCTATCACTACATGCCCCAGTAAAAAGTCCTTCCCCAGCTCTCCTGTAGGCCCCCTTTAGGTACTGGAAGGCCGCAATAAGGTCTCCCCAGAGTCTTCTCTTCTCCAGGCTGAACAGCCCCCGCTGTCTCAGCATTTCCCAGCCTCTTCAGACATTCTGAACTCTTTCAGCAGAACTTTGTACTTCAAAGTTGGTTTCCAAATGTCTTTCTATCCCTAGTAGTTCGTTTCTGGTAGTAGAAGTTTCTTCTACGAGTTACAAAAACAAGTGTGCACTTTCTTCAAATCCCAGCTAGAAATTTCCAGCAGTATAAAGGGAGGAACGGTAATGCCTACCTGTGTGGGTCCTTTTGTGGCCAGTGAGTTTGCCTTTATCAGCAAAGCAAGCCCCACAGTCCTCGCAAATATATGGCTTTTCCCCAGTATGGGACCTAAATGGAACAAAACACAATTGAGTATTAATAAATTAGCTCTTGTAGTGCATTCTTAAAATACTGTACTTGAAATTGCATTCTACACACTACAGGCAACATACTTCATTTTTTAAATGAAGTGGGAAAAAGTACATTCTGCTCAGTCTGGATATAGCGCATTTGCCAGTACAGGTGCTACATTAAGGCATGAAAATTCCCATTTAAGTTTTACCTTTTCCTCATTCTCGGGCCCTACAAAATCCACCTTTCTTTCACAGTTACAGCTCATGGTACCAGCATCGGAAGGGAGAAAGTAGGGACGATGACAAGTTGATGCTGTGCACTAGAGATTGAAAGTGCATCCAGACTGTCCCCAGTACAATGCCAGCAGCAGACCTCTTGGGAAATGTGGGCCACAGTCTTGGCTTCTGTAATCTCATGTCCCCAAGCCTGCAAATTTTAACTGTCTGAAAAACGGGAATATCCTGCCAAAAGGCACTAAGGGAAGTCAGGCAAGCAGTGTTTCTGAACACATGATTTTCAACTAGCTCACATCAGAAAAAGTCTAAGCCTAATGTTTAGTCTTAACACTGTGCTGATTTCCCTTATTCCAACCCAAATACTACGATGTGCAAAATCATGGATAAATTTGAGTTATCAGGCAAAATGCTGCAAATATGAGACAGCCAGTTACCCAACACAAACCCCATGAGTCAATGTTTTGTTGCAGTCATACCACATCTTACACGCAGTGCAGCTCTGCCGCGTTTCAGCTGACACAGATTACCTTGGCATTTCAGATGTTTTGGTGGTCCTGAATCAGTATGCCTCACCATTTTTTAAATCACCGTAAGAACACGTAGGAAATAGAAGAAAGCTACTGTCCCCATTGTACAGGTCCATAGTCTCTAGTAACAGGATTTCTCTCACCTCTTCTAGCTCTTCAACAGTTAACCTCCTCTTATAAGCTATCTGCTAGGCTCCCTGTTTGAAGAAAGATGGGAAATTCCATGGGATGATTCACCCTCTCCTACGAGAGGACACATTTAACACAGACACCACCAGAGAGCAATTAATCCAGTCTAACTCCAATGACCACAGAGGGAGCTCAGATGAGAAGTCCAGATTTTGTATTGCATACAAGAAATTAAATCCCACACTAAATGACTTCCTCAGAGTGATAAAGAGTGAGCAGGGCTCAACATCTGGGACTCTGAGGACCTTGACTAATTCTTCAACCTATGCTACTTCTCATTAGTGAAGGCCATCATCTTATTTTGAAGACTGTCTCAAAAGACTGGCTTTTGCTTACAAGTTCAGATAGAGCATGTTTCAAAATCCCTACCAAAACTGATGCAACGACCAGATGCAGACAAAGCCTCTACGTAAAAGAATTAATCACAGATACTACAGAACAAGTTATATCCCAGTGTTCCTGTTACAAGGACACGCAAGGAGAATGACTCAGAGCTAAGAAGGCAGAAGAGGAAAAAGAAGTGCTGAAGTACACTGGGCATGCAGGGAGTGGTAATGGGAGAAGCAGTAGGCTGACCTGGTATGGATCTTAAGTTGCGATGGCTGAGCAAATTTTGAGTGACAAATGCCACATTCATAAGGTTTTTCTCCTGTATGCGTCCGCATATGAAACACAAGTGCCGTTCGGGAGCTGAGGATCTTCCCGCAGACAGAGCAGAGAGGGCGTTTGACTCTGCCTTCATGCTTCCTCATATAATGTGTCCTCACATCTCTCTTTCTTTTAAAAGTAGCATTGCAAAGGGTGCAGGCAAACTGCCTTTCTTCAGTGTGGACACATGCTCGATGCTCCTTCCAGCTGTTGTAACTAGCAAACGACTTGCTGCAGATGTCACACTGATAGACTTTACCAGGCAAGCACTGGTGGACATCTCTGCAGTGATCCACATACTTTTTCCTGGAGACAAACTGCTCATTACACTTATCGCACGTTATTACATAGGCAGATTTCTTATTCACCCCACTTTTATTTACCTTCTTTACTTTAAATGGTTCATCTGATCCATGTTCTTCACCATCCTTCTCATTAGAGTATTCATCATCCTCCTCGGTACAGACCTCCTCATTATCTCTACTATCTTCAACTTCTGAATACCCTGCTTCGTAATCTACCTCCTCCTCACCCTTCACACTCATTTCACCTTCATCTTCATCCCCTTCTTCATTCATTTGTTCACTTCTTGCTTCAGCTTCCTTGTATTTCTGCTTCTGTTCCTCTTGCTCATTGCTACAGTCTGCTTTGGTAACAGATGAATGCCCGGGTTCTTCATCATGATTTGTGGCCTCTTCGTGCCTCACACACTTTTGTTGTTCAGCCTCCGATGTCCCATCCCATGTCTCTCTGTCAGGATCTTTGTCACAGCTTGTTGCATTTGGTCTATGTGCAGGCGGAACTACCATCCAATAGACAGGCATAAGTTTCCTCTCTTGCTGAGACTCATGGATTTTTCTGTTAAAACAAACAAACAGACAACAGAGCACAACTTCAATAGGTTTAATTGTTTCAATTCAGACACGTTTGCCTTGGAGGAAGAGTTCACAGAATCACAGAATGGTCAGGGTTGGAAGGGACCTCTGGAGATCATCTAGTCCAACCCCCCCACCAGAGCAGGGTCACCTACAACAGGTTGCACAGGGCGGCGTCCAGGCGGCTTTTGAATGTCTCCAGAGTGGGAGAATCCACAACCTCTCTGGGCAGCCTGTTCCAGTGCTCCACTACCTTCAAAGGAAAGAAGTTCCTCCTCATGTTAAGATGGAAAGTTGTTTCCTTCTGATTGTTCTTCATACCATTTAAGAAATTAACAGCATGTTTGGAGAGCTGGGAACAGGGAAATTTTATGTAGTTGGACCAGTTAAAGAAAATTAGAAGATCTCAGTTCATCAAGGATGGTACCTCTCAGGTATACATATTCATCATCTGATTAGTAACATAGGATGTAAATTTTCATCCTGTCCACCATGACCTTGGAGAAGAAACTTAAGACCATGGACTTAAAACCAAGGGAAATACAGATTAAATGCCTATATGGAAAAACAAAACAGATCCCCTCCTAAGCCATCAATTGTAGCAGTTAACTCTACTTATTGCTACTCGGTGCATGGAACAAGTCATTGCACTCACAACACATATGGAATGTTTTTTCTGCTACTGGACTGAATTACAAATAAATTAGGACGTTTTTTACAGGGGAAGCTGGGATCCAGTAGAAAATCACCTATCTTGTGTACCACACAGGCAGGGTACAGAGATGTTTGACGTGTACAGTGGCTTCTGCAGTTCTGGAAACTACTGTGCAGTTTAAACATCTTGTTTTCACTCAGGCTGCACTTATTAAGCCTATCTGGAAGCTCACATTACTGAGTAAAACAGCATACAGAATATTTGGCCCATGAAAACTATACTAAAAAGCACCACACCGCTCCTACGTTTACGAAATGGGTGTTTTCCTGTACGTTTTAAACAGATGCCGATTCTTTTCGGGCTCCTATTAAAAAACCCAAAATCTGAGGCTTCCGAAATCACCTAACAGATCCGGTTGCACAAGTCCTTTTTGATTCAACAGGAAACGTTTGCCTAAATTCCCAGTCTGGGAGACCTCAATCCAGTAATCCAGACTGAAAGCTTGATGAGGTCAATGGAAAAAATCTGTGCCGATTTCAACACACTTCTGATTGGATCCAAGGAATTCTGGAACTAAAGCAGACAGGACTTCAGGAACACTTTCAACCTGGTGCCCAGAGGGAAGACACATTTTTCCGCGCATGCACAGACACACACACACAGAGAATGCTATACCTTACATGGGTATTGTAAGCAGATCTCTGAGCAAAGCTGGCTGGGCAGTGTTTGCATTTATAAGGTTTCTCCCCCGTGTGTGTTCGTATGTGGACTGTCAGGCCACACTTGGAGCTGATGACCTTGTCGCAGTACGGGCAGGCCTGGGGATCCCTCTTCTTCTTGTGCGCCCTGCGAATATGGTCGTTTCTGTCCTTCTGGCGCTTAAACTTCTTGTTGCAAAACACAGAGGAGAAGCCCCGCTCATCACTATGAGTGGTGAGGCGATGCTGCCGGAGATTCTGGTGCGTAGAAAAAAGCCGCTCACACATATTACAGCTATACTTGACAGCCACATTAACGTCATGCTTGAGCTGGATGTGCGACTGGTACTGCTCAATAAAACAGAATGATTCGTTGCACTTCTTGCACGCAATCTGCGGCAAGGCTTTTGCCACGTGCCGCGGTGATTTCCTACGTTGCGTTTTACTGGCAAATTTGGAAATTAAACTGTTTTCATCTTCCCACTGCTCAGGCAGAGTGTTCCTAATTACTACGGAGGCTTCCTTTGACTCAGCCTGACTTAGGAGAGAACGACTATTCTTGTTTTCCAGACTGACAATATCCATACTGAGTCTGTTTCTGTTGTCTGTCTTGCTACATTTTGATAGCTTTGCTGTCCTGGATTTTGGTTCTGGAAATGCGGTGTCCTCTTGCTCCAGGCTTGCTGGTTGGCCTTCAATGAGTTCGCAGCCAGCCAGCAACTTTTTATGTTCTTCCCTATCCCAAAGTTTCCTCTGCACAGGTATTGCCACAACTTGGGAAGAGTTACTCAGTTTGAGGTTCTCCCCTTGCTGCATGCAAGTCCACTGTGGCCCACCATTTTCACACAGCTGACCTTTCAGATTGAGGCTCAAATCTAAACCCTTCCTGCCCTCTGCTTTCACTTCTTCACAAATGTCAAGCAAATCCTTACATTCAAGTCTTTCGGCTATTTCTTTCATCCGTTGCAGTTTTTCCGCTTCAATCTCCACTTCTGCAGTGTAAACAAACTCCAGGAAGGAGGTGAACTCTTCTGTGTAAATGTCTTGCAAAGTCACTGTGCAGTTCTTGGTGTCCAGCATCTCATCATGCAGGAAAAGCCCCTTGAAATAATTGCTAGAAGCTGCCAAGACAGCTTTGTGAACCAGAAACTCCTCCTGAATTCCAAGATGTTGTGTGTGAACTGTCACATCACAGAGGTGACCAAACTGGTACAGAGAATGCAGTGCCCTCAGGAGGTTAGGAGCAGCAACCTTGGATTTCATTAGTATTTTCTTTTTCTCCATCCTGCCAGAAAAACAGACAAATGTTTGAATGCTTGCTCTCCCATGAGCTGTCTTTTCATTCACATACAACATCAATCACACAAAAAGCTCAGTGGAGATCCATGTCCTAATTCCTAATTTACAAGATGTGGCAAAGACCTCAAGGTTACTTCTATCAGTGCAACCATCATCAGCAAACACACTTGGACTACTGCAGTCACAGATTTAGATTTACAGTCTAGGATAACCCTTCAGAGTGAATATCCTGTTGCACAGATGGTAACACTAACAAAATACAAGTAAAATGATTGGCCCAGCTGAATAATAAAACGTTCTTCAAACAAGTACTTTTCAACAGTAGAGGCCACAACAATTTATAGTAGAAACAAGCACCTTTCCCCACTCTTCTACAAAGGGGGAACTGAAGCATAGCAAGTCACTTCCGATTGTTTCCAGGCTGGTGTTGAAACAGAGCCTGTGTTTTCACAATTACACCAGGCTCCACTCACCCTGCCAGGCAGCCCCTTGTGCCGAAGGAGGGGAATAAATCTTGGGATCTGGTTCAATTTTGTTTCCATTCTGCCCCCTCTGCCCTGCAACAATCAGACCTAGGGGTTAATAATGATAGTTTTTAAGGTTCTGATGTATTTAGCCACTTAAATAATATACAGGGACAAACTACACATCTAGAAACAGTTACAATTTTTTTTGAGGAGGTAATAGCATTTTATTTGAAAAATATTTCAAAACTGCTCCTTCTCAATCAACAAACAGAGGGGTCAGAAGTTTTCTGACATTTTCAGAAAGAACAATTTGCATTTCCCCGCCAGCTGTAGAGACAGATACTACCTATTATTACAGTAAATCTGATGTCAGAGAACTCTGTGGCTTTCCTGTCTCAACATGCATACGATACCTATACTGTTGGAACAAGAAGTACCATCTACCCTTGTCCATAAAACACAATGACAATGCTGTCGACCTTACTGAGGCCTTTAGACGCTCTGATCTGACCCTCAAAGCTGATATTCCCAATCTAGCATAGTTTTAAAATGTCTGTTATTTAGCACATGCTTACAACAGCTTTGTAACCAAGGGAAGAACACTGGGCCAAAACAAACAGACAAATCAGCTTGTTACTGCTTAAAGGCTCTGTTTAAGCTTGGCTTGCTGTGCTTCCTTGTCACAGTAATAATGGCTGGCAGAAAATGACACCAAACTGTACTTTCGCTTCTCATCTAAATTATGTTTGACATTGTATTAAGCACATTCCTGGCAGATACAAACTGTCTGATTAAAAGACAAACGTGTCTTCAACATAAAGTACCGGAAAGTCGAATACAATACGTAGCCTAGAGTGAATAGGTTTGAATAGCAAGCTCAAGAGATAGCTTTGAGAATACTCTTCCTATTACAAGCTACATTACAAGCTACCACAGCAAGCACCGCAGAGGATAATCATCTTCTAATCTGCAAGGCCTGAGGCATTCAATATTTATGACATCTTAAATAATGTTTTAAAAACTGCATTTAAAGATTTAAACTGATTTTTCTAATGACCCCATTAAGTGCCACTGGAACACGTACAGCTACATTTGCAGAAAATGGACAAGATTTCTACTAGATATAAAATTCCTGTAAATTTGAGTTATGGAGAACCTCAAATATTTGTACGTAATTAGGGGTCTGATCCTGAGTACTCCATGAACTCCTGTAAGAAGTCCCACTCCAATCAATGAGACGGCTTGGGATCTCAGCCTTCTCACCTAGCTGGTGCAGAACCTCCTCACTCCCACACTCCTCACTGCTAGCGAGTTCAAGGACGTTTACTCAGAGAAAACGAAAATATCACTACAGGAAAAATACTTAGGAAACTAGAAGAAAAAGACAAAGCATGTGTTGAAACATCCCACAGAAGCTAAAAATTGAGGAGAGGAATGTGCAAAATAGCATTATCAAAATTCTATCGGAAAAGGACTGCTCACATCTAGACTTCTATAAATGTTCAATAATTAGCAGAGTCTCTGCCTTATGAATTCTGGCCAGCAGGCATCTTTAAAACACTCCAAACTCAACATTTGCCAACTATTCCCTACCAATGATTACTAGCCATGTGGAGACATAACCCTAACAACTCCTACAGCACGCTTGAAGGGTGAAAGAAGTACAGATCCGGAGGTTAATACCAAATTCAGTCAACAAATCCACAAATGCTTCCACTTAATCGGTCCCCTGGTTTGCCCTTCTTAATGTTTGCCAACAGGGTATCCTTCTTCATTTCTGTGCAGAACAGACCCCAGGGTTGCGAAGCTCACCGATCAGTAGCGCTTAAAGAAATCAATGAGCAGAGCATGTAGTAATTTCCTCCTGCTCCTTTTTAAGATCCCCATCTGTGATAAATTCTTGATACGCGCTCCCATGTGAGCTCTACTAATACTAATATCTGATACTAAGCCAAATGGAGAGGTACGTTCCAATATCACCTCTTTAGTTCAGCTGGTTCTAGATTAAATCAGCCCAGAAATGGTTTAGTGAAATGTCTTTCCAATGAAAAATGCCACAAATGAAGCAGTTCTCACAATTTTTCCTTCAGAAAAAAAAAAAAAGAGGATGTACTTTTTGTTACCATTTGAAGGGGAAATTCACATTTAGTTTTCTGAAGCGGCATTGACTATAGTACGTTTTCATGTTTTACAGATTCATGAGGTTGACAGTAGAACACAACGTTTCAGGGGTATAAAACAGTACGTAAGGTTATTTTTCTACCCACAAAAAAAAAACGTTCAGGTAATAGAAGATTTCCAAGTATTTTGCTTTCATTTTGGGTCTAAGGAAGCAGCTTCTTAAAACCAATATATTACAAAAGCTATTTTCTTTTTACATTTTACACTTCATTAACACTTAATGACAAGAGTAGACTCTTAAGGAATTCTCATCCAGAGGAACAGGAATGCAGATGACAAACGCAGTAAATCATCCAGTTATTGCATCAAAGAGAAGGACGTATTTTGTTCTAATTGCAGGTTAATGTTGGCTTGAAACAATCATCAGTAATCAAATAGGAAAAATAACAGCAACATCATTAATAGGTTTAATTCTATCCCTCCGTGTACGAACACAAGGCACCCTGGTCTTCATAATCCTAACTTTCGCTCCTGACTGCATCTGTAAAACCAAGCACTCCCAGAGCTGCACCCCATCTCTTTTGCTCCCCAGTGCTCAAGCCAACCCAAATCTCAAAAGGAGCGGCACTTCCCTCTCCTGCTCTACTGCAAACACACCACGCTAACCCAGGCAGAACAAGTTTCTCGGTGAGACAGAGGGTGGTCACGAAGGCGGAAAAAGTGCAATGCAGCACAAGGAGCATGCTCTGCTTCTCCACAACCCCTCTGCTATTTTCTCACACCCTCAGAAACTCTCTCTGAGCTCCTGAGGCAGCAGGATTCACACCCCACTGCAAGGAAGATACCACTGATCACTGCAGGTCATCGTGAACCAGTTACACCACTTACAAAACCAGCACGCAGAAGGGAGCTGGTTAGAGGTTAACAGCTCTTATAAACTTCATTCTGCTGTACCCTAAAGCTACTTCTTAAAGCAGCAAGCTGCTAGTCTCCAAGACACTGACTTCAATGGGAAAATTTCAATGAAGACAACTTTTTTTCCCACATACTGCATTTTATGGGTTTGTTTGTAACTTCTTTCACTTTTGTGCCTAGTAATAAGGGAATAATACTTTAAAGAATTTGCACGTATGCAAAATTTACAGAAAATGCAATTAATCTAACAGAACCACTGCAAAAGCCAAAACATATTTCAATTCAATCATAGTTGCTAATAGGGACACTGGAGTAAGTACAGCCATTTTCAAAAATAAAGCCTAACAGCGGCTTCCAATCTCTAAGAAAGGATTTATATTTGCTCTGTACTATAGCGCTCTTTTTTATGATGTGACAACATAGTCAATAGCAGCTATCTAATTCAGGATAATTAACACAGTAAATGAAGACATTTGTAGGAAGAACAGTAAGTATTTCTAAAACATTGTTCTTACTTAGACATTCACTTTGCAATTTCTATGGGCCAGAGCCTTACAGTGATACAGTATAGCCCTTTTGAAGCGAAGACAGTGAAGGTACACCGATTTATGCACCCAACTATCCAGGGGAGAAAAACCCAATAGGTCAAAGAAATTGAATATCGTAGCTCTCAAAAATTCTCTTATTTCACATAAACATGCCCCGCTTTTTGCAAAGTATAGATAATCTTTGGTTGCTTGATTTTCCCCAAGACTTTTCAATTAGATCTTGAGTTTCTTTTCA